AAAGAAAATTCCCTTCCGAAGTAGAAATCAATGACGTTATTTCGCAATGATGTCAATGTTAAACGTTTTTTAAAATGTTAAACTTTGAAATATTGCCAAATTTGTTCAAGTTATGTATTAAATTCTAATAGTTTCATATCTAAATCTGCTTACATGGTCCAACGAAACTCAAATGATCCTGAATTAAGAAAATTAACTGATTTGTGTAGTTTCATATATGTCACTTGCAAGGAATCATATATATACCGCTTCGCTCAAGCTTTCATATCTTGTTTTAGTGAAAAAATACGCTACATGTAGCTTTTAGCTAGTAGCGCTTAGCAATATATTTGTAGGCGCGCACATCAAATTAGTTCAGGCGTTTATCAAAATAATTCAGGCGTGCGTAGTTTTGATCAGTTTGGTACGCTAAATTCAATATGTCTGAAGGTCTTTGTCCGAAACGATTAGGTTATTTTGTCTGACTGTTTTGCTTCAGTATTCGCTGAAATATCATTGTCAGAAATGTCAGAACACGTTTTTCAATTTGAGCCGGGACAAAAAAGAACGATATGAAAATTTTCCGTTCAAATATTGCCAGTTAAAAAGTCGAAATTTGTCTGGAGAAAATATTCCGTCTTTTCTTCGAAAACTGTCGAAAGAACAAAGCTCTTGTTCATTGAGTGAAACCCCTCAATTTTTTCTGAATTCATTTTAAGGTCTATTAAAAAAATTTGATTGAAGAATTGACAAATTAATCGAAAAATTTTTTATCCTTTTATGGTCAACTCCCCCCCCCCCTCCGCAAGCTTTTGATGGTCCAAAGGGTGTGTTTAGCGTCTCCTATTGTTTAAAAGGTCTAAGTTTGGATTGTAGCTTACGCGTGTTATACGAACGCATTATATCGCGCCTTAATTATCCAAAGTAAACCCATTTAGCAATTTTGAAACCACCGTAACGTTACGAAAAAAATCATAGGTAAAAAATCTTTTGATGTTTGATCTTAGGGCAGCAATATCATTCAGATAGGATATAGACTTCTGTCAAAAACTCAGAAGTTGGCATTAACTGCAAGCTTAAATATTCCGCAGTTTTTACAAAAATCGGAACACTAAAAGTAAACCATATGATTAGTTTTAGATAAAACTGTGCTAGTGTTGTTTCGCTGTTGAAAAATTCATGGGTTAGAAAATTAGAAAAAAAGAAAAGTCGGACCATAACGCTAATGATCACTTAAGTTCGCTTGTGTAAATATGCCATTAGCGACCATATTTTGGTATTTTTTGCGCTACCCGATGAAAGCGGAACATACACAAGCTCAAAATTTTCGAAAAATTTGGTGGCATAAAAATAAACAAGACTGCTCGTATCAGGGCGAAGCCCTGAATGTTCCGACTGCCTTTTAAGGTTTATGGAGCAGTAATAACATTAAAAAAATAAATGAAAAAAAAAATTCTAAAATTTGAATTTTTTTATGAAAACCTTCCCCCCACACGCCATATAAAAAACCAAAGAATAGATTTCGCGCCTTGAAACAAATCAATTATGGCAAATAAGCTTCTTTCAACAACCAATTTGGAACGATTTCTATGACGGATTAACTCTTCGCTTACGCGTTATAGTGCGAAATATATCGCGCGTTAATTGTCCCAAATTGGCCAAAATGGCGATCTTTAAACCCCCGTAACTTTACGAAAAATGATCACAGGTAAAATATTTTTTCAAATTTGAGCTCAGGACAACAATACCTTTCGAATGATATAAAAAATTTCCGTCAAAAATGGCTAGTTGAAAAGTCGAAATTTGTCTGAAGAAAAAAAAAACCCACCCCGAGCACAAATATTCCGTTACTTTCGTATCGAAAGTCGGAACAATGATATTTCAGAAAATAAAATATGTACGAGAAGCAAAGCGATTCATGCATTCCACTAAACTGTCTCACTTGTCTGAGGGCTGTAAGGAAAGATTCATTGATGATAAGAAACAAAAACGTGTTTAGCGTGTAACTTTAAGTTAAAAGATCACAGTAAAAAACTTTTATATTTTAGCTCAGGGCAAAAATATCTTTCAGATAGGATATAGACTTCCGTCAAAAACGCTGAGTTATATTACGCAATTTTTTCAAACGTTGGAACACTAAAATTAAACCATATGGTTAATTTTAGATAAAACTGTGCTGATTAACTGTTGAAGTGTTGTTTCGCGGTTGAAAAATTGTGTTTAGTGAGCAGGTGAGCTGCATTTTTAAAATGTAACTAGTTAAATGAAGACTTATGTAGTGTGCGACCACACTAGCCACGAGAATTGTTGAATGGTCCAATCAGGGCGTCGCAATCAGTTGATTGATTTCAGCTTGAGTAGGAAGATCAATTTCGGCATAGAATGAACTATCGAATTCATCAAATTAAATTTATTTCTTCTGAACTGATCGTAACAGCTCAAATCACGTTTAAAACTCTTTAAAAAAATAAAAGTTTTTTTAAGTAAAACTTAGCTACTTATGGAGTCGAGAGATGGAGTCTTACGCCCTGCTCTCTCGGCCACGTTCGCTTAACAATCGGCAAACAACAGTCACAAATAAAGTAGCTAAATAAGCTTATGAATTGCCAACGTGATGCATCTTTGCATGTAAAAAGTTGGAAAACTTAAAGCCACATTTTGTATAAATTACGCATTTGAAAAACAATGCAAGAAAAAGTGAGTTAGAAAATTTCTAAAAGCCAGTTTTTTATAGAGGCCATACTGTTTGAAACAAATAGATTTTCATGGTTCATCTGATGAATTAAAAATGCATCAAATGTGTTAACTTAATACTTTTCGAGCTTCAAAGCACATGCGATCAAAAAGCCTTAACGGTGCTCCAAAAATGGCACCAATATTTGCGACTTGGGTTAGAAAAAAGAATAGTCGTACTATAACTCTAATGCTCACTAACGTTCGCTAGTGGAAATGTGTCATTAGCGACCATATTTTGTGCTACCCAATGAAAACAAAACATATCCAAGCTCAAATATTTCAGAAAACTTGGTGGCAATAAAAAAAAGATGTTTCAGAAAATAAAAGATATACGAGGAAGCAAAGCGATTCATTCTTTCCACTAATCTGTCTCACATGTGAAAAGACTGTAAGGACACATTGATGGATGATAGGAAACAAAATTTCCAGTTTGCATACAAATCATTTGATAAAATATATGACCGTTCAATAGAAAGTTGATGAAAAAAATGGTAATTGCAAATTGAAAAAAAACTAGCAAAAATAATTTTGAAAAAAATTCTATGGTTATTAGCTCAAAACGACGACGAGTCTTAATGAAATTATTTCAATAATTTTTTTCCAAATATTCAAATGAATGTAGTGTGGCACATTATATGACATGCAAATATCACTGTTTATCTCTAAAAAAAAAAATTAAACAAGAGCAGCTAAATCCAAAATTTTCTGCACTAGTCTATGCTGCTGTTTGTTGCGTTTCATACACTGTATTTTTATAGAATCGAGAAAAAAAATGAGACGTTTAATTTAAAATTCGCTGCTTTTTTTGGTTTAACGATGCCTGGGGCCAAAAATTTCCTGTCAAAAAATTGTTAGCAGTGACCCAGCTTAGCTGGTATTTGAAAAAAATGCCCCAAATTCTACTTAACTACAAAAAGTTTCAATAAAATTGAACTCAGCATGGTGTTACGGCGTTCATATTTGCTTTGCCTCCCAGTATTTTCGATCTCCTCCGATGGAAGCGATACTGTTTGAGGACGAGCTCTCACTTAACCACTAGCTCCAAGTCATGGCCATTTTCTGACTGAGTTTTCTAGTCGGCCTTGAGTTGCGTAACTAAAGAATACTGCGTAACTCGATTGTGACGAAAGAATAGAATCAAACTATACTGAGACAAGCATGATAGCTTTTCAAAGATCCTCTGATAAGAGGATCTTTTCAAAGATCCTTTCTAATATCAAGATTATTTTATTTTTAAGAATACGCCTATTAATGCACAACTAAATTGGACTTCTTTACTCTGTTTCCTAAAAACAATTCGTGACAAGCAGTCACGGATTTATGGTGGGGAGGCAAGGGGAATTTATCCACTGATCACCCAAACCGTAACGCTCTGTAACTTTGCTTTTCATCCTTTTTTGATAAACTCATGGCGAAATAGGAAGAATAGGGTTCAGATAATCAAGTTCGTCGACCCAAAAAAGATCAAAAATTTTTCGAAATAGGCCGCGGTTTGATAATTCATGGGTTTCTGTTTTATTACTGTTTCAAATTATTACACTATCACTACGTTTCTGACGCTATCAAACTAGTGTCATCTAACATTTCAGGTCTTCCGATACAAAAAAATGGATATCTGAGTTTCCCGTACTCAACTTGTTAGACCCAATAACACTAAAATTTAAGTTCTGTTTTAAGAAACTGGAGAGCATTTTGTAGGCCGCTGTTCAAGTTTAAGGACGGTCTCTGGTTTTGGAAGGTGTCTTTCAAAGCTGAACGATATGGCACTTACCACTAATTCAAGGTGGGGCCTTTCATGAGCACTCGAAAATCATTCTGATCATCCTAGAAGGTACTTGAACTCTCAAGTATAATGAGTACTGAGAGACCCCATATCTGACCGGGGGCCGTCCCTAATAAGCAGTGGCAATTTTTTTTTTAATTAAATTTAATTGATTTTTTTTTTCGTTCAAGTTATTTCTGTAATGTTTTGCTTTGATTTTTTTTACCTCATTTGATGTTTATACGGATGTTTTGGGGCATAAACCTAGGTTTTTGGCTGTTGATTCTCCTAGGTAGGCTTTGTTTATTGGACTTTATTGATTTTCTTTTATGAATTTGATAACGTGATTGAATTTTGTAATGCCTACTGTAATAAATAAATATAAATGCCTACTGTAAATAAATTTTCTAAATTACTGTGATATCAAACACTTATTACTAATTTTTTTTTGAGGAGACTTCTGCGCTAGTTGGTTATAGCTAAAGGTATGAGCTCAATTGATCTTTTTTGCAATCAAAATATGTCAAGAAAATATTTTTTAATTTTGCATTCTAAATAATTGCAGCAGAATATATTCTACAAACTAATCTATTCTCTATTTCCATTAGCATTTAGTTTGTGACAGCAAATTGAGCAGTTTCAGTGATGACTCATGAGCGCCCTGGTTGTTATTGTTTCCAGCCGGGGTCAAATTAATTAAACAGTTTTTGGACGTCTGATTGTACAAATGATGGATGTAGTTTTTCTGGGAGTTTGCTGCTTGAGCTACTAGCAATTCGAGTCCATTTGCTGGTTTCTGATTAGACGGAGAGACGGCTAGAGGTGAGTTCGCATTGGCTAAGATTTGAGACATTTGATTGGTGGGTGAAGCAGCAGATGAAATTGGTGGACTCAATTTTGAGTTGCCACACTTCCCAGCCGGACTTGGCAGAGAAAAACCTGAAATCAAAAATCTTGTCTTTCAAGAATATTTCAATAATATTTTCAAATTTGTTCTCAAAAAATCTTCAGAATTGTTTCAGTTTTAATAGTGAAAGTAAAGGGGGAAGGGGGAGCTGGTGTTCTAACTCACCAGGAATGATGCTCTGAAGAGTCGGTATGTCCAGCATTGCGTAAGATTTATTCTGCTCGAACAACGACTGGACAGCATCTCTGGAGACAAAAAGAAACACTTTTGAGTAACTACAGTCAAATAAACAAAAATAAGCCTCGATAGTTTGATATATTTGGTATCGCGTGTCGAAGGTATTTTTTATCAAATTGCATCGTCAAAGTCCTACGGAGTTTTTTGTATCGATTTTGCAACGTTTCTTTTCATGCAGCCCCTGTGGTGCCCAAAAAAAACTTTTTTCAGTCACAATTTAACCATATGAAAGCTTTTTTACCCTGTTGCAAAAATGGAACTAAGTTGTGATCTACACCTCTGTTCACATCCGATGTTAAATAATAGTCCGATATGATCTAAAGCTATGTGTTAAATTGATTTTTCTGGCTAGATAGTAAGAAACATTCATTTTACCTTTCGTAGTCAGACAATCTGGACGAGTCTCGGAACCCTTTAGCGAATGGATTGCAGTCAATCTTCAGTTTGGTAATCTGAAAAAAAATCCTAGCTTTAAAACCATCCTGTCCAATTACTACAGGGGACTAGAATTTGAAATACAGAGTATAAAAATCAATCAAATACTCTAGGGACAAAACTCTGAATGATCCGACTGCTCTTCAACACACATCTAATCTAGTTCACAACTTTGTTTATAAAATATAAATTATTTGCAAAAAAAACTAATCAATAATATGTGGAAAATGAGCTCTAGTTGGTTTTTATTGGTGTGATATTGGGAAGAGTTTAACGCGTTCGATTCCGTTCACGAAAGGAAAACTTACCAGCTGGTTTTGGTATGCAGTGACAGCTGTGAAGATGGTGGGCGGGAAGTGAAATGAGTGACAGCTGTCAGCCTCGCCCACACTGCCCAGTGGCATCTTCTGGCCCTCCTTCAACTCCAGCAGGTGGATTCGCGGCTGGTACTTGTGCATCGAGTTCAGAACAATCTAGAACATTAAAACAGTTCAGAATATTCTAAAACAATCATAGGTGGACAGAATGGAGAATTTTCTAGAACAATCTGGGCCATGGGTCTATTGTTTTTCCAGTTGAGGTTTGCGACAAAGTACCATCCGCCCCTGATATTAATCCATTTTCTAATTTTAACATTTCGTCGACCTTTTTGTAGATCGAGCAAATTGATTTTCCGAGAGGATCTTATTGGGACGATTTAACCGTACCAACTATCTAGCTAAAAACTTAATAATGTTGAATTAGTTTCTGTAGTGAATGAACTGACATGTCCTGTGCCGTCCATGTCGTTGTTGGTGAGTTTGAGTTTCTCGAAGGAGATGATCTGAGACTCCAGTGCCTGACCCAGAGCAGGAGTATCTGCAGACACAACAGACAACAGAACAGAGATTAGTCCAACAGTCTGGCGAATCAGAGCGGCGGACCTAATGGACTGATTAATCCATTGACATTGAATACTACTTATAAAATGTTCTTAAATAAGGTATGGTATTATTATAACCATACTGTATTTGAGAAAAATGTTTAATTGTTTACTTCAATTTTTGAATGACACAGCACTTTTGAATATATGCATTGAATCCTCTAAGGTCGGTTAGAGATGCTTCTTGAAAAAACAAACTAAACTCTTAAGGCATGGAATGCTATATCATATTTAAACCCATTCAGTCGTGATTTGCATTCCAAAAACAAAATTTGAACAAGTTGGTTTAGCGCGCACTAGAAAAACTGGTCTGGACATTTACATTTTTGTTCTCATTTTCAGCGGGAAGTGGAAGAATTTTTTAAAATTACTTGCTCGCAATCTGCTTTTGAACAAAGTTTCCGGTTTTCAAGCCATGTATATCCAGTTTGGAGCTGAATTCAAGAAAACGACCGGAGAACTATATTAAAAAACAAATTAAAAATTTCCAAATTATTTTTTGCTTTTTCTAGTATTTTCTCACAAGTTTTCGAAAGACCTTTTTGTTTCTTGCGCAATAACCGCCTGCTCGTGTTATAATGATGGGTGTTATTTGTTTCTCACCTGGATGGGTGTATAGTCTGTAGGGTGCGGGGGGGTCCGCCTTTCCGGCCACTAGCCAGGAGGACCTGTGGTAGGCATATCTGTACCTCTTGTTGTCCACACTGACCACGTCCAGTCCTATCGCATACCTCTTCTTCCTCTCCAGCCCACTGAAGGACACTCGGATGGTGGGGAACATGCGCCTATTCCACACAAACAAAAACAACTCAATTCATTCATAAATGTGACCGAATTGGGATTCGAACACTCGACCTTTCTGTTAGGAGACGTGCGCCTTACCCAATCGTTCTCGGCCGCTAAGAAAATTTATGCGCCTAACACACAATTGTTTCCTTATTGCTGGGAGGGGCTCTTTTTAATATTAGATGCACGGGCGGATCTAGGAATTTCTCGAGGGTGAGAGCAGATTTTCAAAAAAATTTCGAAAACTTTGTCTACCTTTTTTTTAGGTCGACCAAATTGCTTTTCTGAGCTCTCCCAAATCCTGGCCAAATTTTTTGCGCCGCAGGCAAATTTGAAAAAACAGTCCACAAAAGGCGTTTTCAGGCACTTTTTGGAAACTTTTGACCAAAAATCACGTCCCCCGCCCCCCTAAATACGCTACTGAATAAGTGATTACTATGCTAGCACCTCACCCCCAAAAAAACAGATGTGCACCGAAATTAACCTCAATGGGACTCGCCGTAAAAATATTAGATCTGCCCATGGCCCAAGGCGACAGTACCAGGAACAGTTATTTTATTTAACTGCGAATTTTTCTGTTAGTTTCTGGTCAAATTTTTTGGTTTTTTAAATAAATTATTTGAAATCAAGTTAGCTGTTTGATGCAAGCACTTTCTTATTGCGAGGTTGAACACTTTCTAAAATTATAAGTATTGTATTGACTGACAACTTCAACTGATACAGAACAAGGCACCAAACAGCCCTTGGCCTTTCCTCTGTTTTGACATATTTTAACAATCACTTTCCGCGGGACAAGAGAAAAGAAGAAATTTAGGGAAAATTTGGATTCAAGTGCAGATATTTAAAAATTGACCTGCAGAAAAATGGGACATGATCTAACAGCTTGGGGCTGACAGTGTGTGAAGACGAGATTGTCTTTTTGGCCCCCAGGGAATGTTCTAGAATTTTGCTGTCACGAAAGTTGTCAAGGGCAATTAACACTTTCAATACCGACCGTTCAACCTTTCAATTTAGTTTAATTTAATTCAATTAATTGATCGTTTTCACTTGATTTGATTTAGCTGCCTAACAGTTTTGCGGTATTTTGAGCATCGCGATACAATGCAATAGGCCGGCGGTGGTTTTATCAATGAAATGTGTCTGCTAACAATATTGATGCGATAGACCGCCAGAAGGCCAAAACAGACAATTATGAAGCAAAAAAATTAACTTGACACGCAGATAGAAATTGATTAGTTTCCGAATAAGTTCTCTAGTTGTTGAACTTTTGTTTTCGAAGCTCTGCCGTCTGCGAAAACCTAAGATAACGCCTACGTGGGTCTTCATTATATACTGCCGCCACTAAGAAGGTTTGGACTAAAAATCGGGTTAGAAAGTTCCAATTCCAGAAGGTGACGTCTAATTTCCTAAATCTGGGCCTAACAGCGATGTAAAAAATTAATTTGAATATAACATGACTATTTAAAATCATCGCTCCTCTTTGCAAAAAAGTTCCCGAGCAATTTAAAATTCTTTTTTTTTTTCGGTTAATAGAAAGTTTGGTTTTTACACAGCTATGCATGACTCATCATTTGCTTACCTGCCCGTTTTTGTGATGATCATCTCAGTGCCCAACTCGCTGAATTTCTCCCACAACTCTTTGCTCTCCAGGACACATTCGGGCGACCCCGTAGCCTCCCTCTTCACCCCTTCCCCCTGCACCTTCTGTGACGTCATCGGCGAGTCATCATTGAGGTCAAAGCTCATTTGAGAAGACTTTTTCAGCTTGAGTGCAACTTCGTTCAGACTGTTTGGGCGATTTTGACTCACTTTCTGCTGTAAAACATTTTCCTTTTCCACGCTGGGTGCCGCCATTGCTTTTACGGCCTTAACGGCACTGTTGTTTGGAACTTTCCGTTTCAGAGCAGGTGAAAAGTCAATTACACTCGGATTTTGAGTCGGCTTCTGCGTCGTTTGGTTAGTCTCGAATCGTTGAGCAGCAGCGGCAGCATATGGCAGAAAATTTTGGAGTTTCAGCAGAAGATTCTGTTCTTCGCTGATGAGGCGGTGGTCGAAGCAGGGAATCTTGGCGGGAACTAGTGACAGACTTGGCTGGAAGATGGGCTCAAAGAAGGGTTGCCTGCTCATCCCTCCTTCCTCAAACACTTCTATAAAGAAGACAGACAAAGTTCACATGAACAGAAACTGGCATCCAAAATTACGGGAAGGTGAGCGCTATGTAGCTTTATCATACCTACCACTTCGAAGCAGGGGTGGATCAAGGATTTTCTAGAGAGAGGGGGGGGGGGAAGGGAGGGCGGATTTTCAAAAAACTTTCGTAAGTTTGTCGACGTTTTTTAGGTCGACCAAATTGATTTTGCGAGCTCTCCCAAATCTTGGCAGAATTTTCTGCGCCGCAGGCAAGTTTTTGAAAAAAAAAACAGTCCAAAAAAAGCTATTTTAGGCACACTTTTTGGAAAATTTTGACCAAAAATTGCGTTTTTTTTTGGCGCGCGCCCCCTCAAAGTTTCTCTATATTGGCGCCAAAGGCGCCCTTAGAAAAATTTTGGGGTCCGTCAGCCAAAAATGGATATCTCAAAAAAATCTTAGGGGGGACCTTTGGGTCGGCAGGGGGTCTGCTTCCAAGTGTGGAAAGGAACTATCGATTAGGATCCGTTTTTACTTACAATTTTTCCGGCTAATTTTGACTTTGGAGTATAATTTTATTTTTGTCTAATTTTCCGGCTAAAAAAAAAAATTATCTCAGAGTAAAAAAAAAACTGGTCTGCATATCGTTAATTTTCAGCCTATACTCGACTGAATTTGCTGAGAAGCTGACCTCCCAACTAAGAATCTACTAAAAATTTAATGCCATTTGTTAACGTTTCTTAAACTATTGTTAACGATCTTTCTCGCTTTTTTCGCCGCATTCAAATGTTTTTTCTAGAAAAAAACTACTGAAAATTCACACAACAAAATCGGAAAAGTAGATTTTAAATTTTATCTCCAATTTAAATACAATTCATTTTTCAATCATTTTTTGGAACATTTTGATCTCTTGCACAGCAACCTGTCTCCAGCCTTTTTGCATAGAAAAAGAGTGAAGTTAACAGAAAAGTTTTTATGCTTCGAGGCCCTGCAAAACAGTCGCACGGTCTAAAAACGTCTTCTTCTCGATCTACTCAAGGTAAAGTAGAAGTACTTGCATATATTTCCATCATTTGGCCCAGGTCATGACTAGAAGCATTTTTAAAAAGATTTCTGGTCCTATGACATAAGTATTGTTTCGCAAAAGCATCAGGTGCGCCAAAGCAGAAACCTCAAAAAAGGTAGTGAGTTAGATGTCATTTTCACAATTCAGTCGTGATTTGAAAAGTTCATCTTAGTGTCGACAAAATGTGGTGTTGCTGGAAAACTTCCCTGCTTACACTATGCAGAGGAGAAGTTTTCTTCTTATCGCTAGGAATCTCCAAAATCTATTTTATACTAGTTATTATTAACCCATAAGATAAAGTAAAACTTTTAACTCGCACACTGACTGCCTATCACTCGGCAAAAAAAATCAATAGATAAATTTGAAAAAAAAAATAGATTTCAGTCGCTTAAATCTAAATGGATCTTGATGGGAAATAATGTGTTACTTGCACATCATCTAGTTGTTCTTTTTATTATCATGGAATATTTATGAAAAAAAAAACAGGGGATGTTAGGTTCAGAGACATTTTGATTTTGGTCTCCATGCGACAGTATTATAGACTTCCATTTTGTATAAACAATTTCAAAAGCTTCGATCATAAAACTAGTATTAAATGCAGATCTCGCAAAAAAATTAAAATTTAACGAGGCTTCTTCTATAGTTTGATTCGATTTAAGACCAAAGCGTGCAAGGTTTCAGTGAAAATTTGATATGCAACTCTTCACGATCGGCCAGCCATTTGAGAAATTTTTGGTAAAATTGTTTGTACCCCAAGTTCAATAGGTGATACATTGCAATTACGATTGCTGCGATACTAAGATATTATTTTTCGGAACAGTTGCTGGGCTAATTTTGCGGCCTCAATTGAAAAAGTACGCACCTGTTCTTTGCCGAGAGAGCAAATTTGAAATGGAAAACAGTTTCGCGTTGGGCGACAACAGCTGCGAGTCCACTCTGCGTTCCACCGATGTTTCCACTTTTGTCATTACAGCATCATTTTCTCCTTCGTCGCAGAAAAACACCGAGTCGTCCAAGTTCTCTTTCGGCGACACTTCCTCATCCACATCATCCACAATTTTAGAATAGGAAATTTCCATTATTTTTATTATTTCCACAATTTTATCAAATTTTTGAAAGATTATTTGGCAAGTTGTAAATAATGAATTGAGAGTTTTTCGACACTAAGGCTTCAACTAGAGAAGTGACTGTTATTTGGCTGTGTGAAACGGTTTCTTTCAACTGGAATTTGATGGACCGTTTGAGGCTCTAATTGGTCCAGATATTGAGCAATTGGAACAAATATCTGGAAGCTGGAATTATATCATCCAGTTAAAGTATTCAGACTTGAACTTGATACGATAGCCGGTGCTTGTTGCAGATGGAAAACACAATGCGCTGCAAGTCTAATCCGGCTCCACCAATCAAAATTGAGCAGCAGGACAGGTAAATTAGGGAAAATGCGTGACAGGATCTTAACAAGCGGACGGGTCGGCGGGTTTATTTGGGAAAAGTTGAGAGGAAAAAGGATCACGGAAAGGGGATCTAGAGCGCAATGGGGGGATTAATTGGAGATTTAATGAGCTTTTGACAAGTAGCGAATCAAGTTTCTCCAGATTATAATGTTTCTCGCCTAAGTCGAAGATAAGTATGCTTGAAAATTGAAATTTTATGAAAAATTTGACTAACTTAATGAAATATTTGCCAGTTGCATAACACTTTAGTGTCATGGAATTAAATTAGGAATTACAAATCATCTTTCAAGTAAAAAGCTGTCAAGAGTCGTACTTTACTTACTAAAAAAAATATATAATTCGATGCAAGTTGGCATAATTGAACTGTTTTTGAAACTTAAGCCAAAGTTCTTCATTTCTTTCTCAGGGAAGAACGTTTTTGTTATAACATTAAGTAATTGAAAATTATCAACTTCGTCGTTGATTTTTGACATCGTGATTAAGGGGTATTTTGCCGAGATAAACAACTTTAAAGAGATTTCGAAATTAGGAGGATAAAACAATTACCTTATTTCTTTTCCAATTTTGATCGTTCTTTATGCAACGCTTGTTGAATCTTCTGTTCATGAGATATCAAAATCGACTGGGACCTTTTCAGCAGGAAAAATCTCCAAAAAATGAAATCTTTTTTAAATCTTTCAGACATGGGCGAGTGATGCTTCTGGTCGGCCGGCCGGGCGGGGGATGGAGTGTAGCTGAGCAAGAGCAGACAAATTGGCGCCTCCGAGAGCGGATAAAAAGCTGAGCTTTGTCAGGTTGTGATCAACAGAATAATCGCCATTTTTCACTGCCTTCAGTGACTGCTTCTAAACACTCACACTCCCCTCTGCTCGCCTAACTGAACGTGTCACGCGCACCGCTTTCTAATCTCCAGACTTGAAAAGAAGAAATCCAGCAAATTATAAAAGGTGACTGGTTCCTTCCACTGCTAAACTGGCTTTTGTGTGGTTTGTTTCAGTTAAAACCAAACGCGCCTCCTGTCTAGACTTAGAGGTACAAACGATACGGACTGCTCAAAATGTCACCCTTTTTGGGCGCAACTCAGCTTTCCTTTTTCTAAACTTTTCATCAAGTTCATTTCAGCCAGTTCGAATCTTTAACGCTACGGCTAATAGTTTGACAAATGTGCTCTCGTAATTTTCTTAAGAACTTTTTAGATGTTGACAAAATTTCCAGAATATATTGGCTATTTTATGGATCTGCGCAAGTAATTTTGCATTAAAGCAAAAAACTCAAAAAAACGTTTAAGGTTTAAAAAAAGGTTTAGTAAACGTTGAAATCTTGACAAAAATAACAAGAAAAATTTTAACCGAGTTGTGAACAGAAAACAAACTATCTAGTGAGATGTCTCGATTGCCCTTAAACTCACCGTTAATCACACACTTTCTATATAAAGAAAACTACAAGCCAGAAAAATCCATGAAACTCAACGCGAGTTGACAAAAAATGCTTATCATACTATTTCATATTATGAAAAAGATGCTAATCGTACTGTTTCATACTATTTCATAGGCCAAAAAAAAATACTATGAAAATAGCATCATAAGCATTTTTTCCATACTATGAAATATTATGATAGGCATTTTTTCTATACTATGAAATGGTATGACATGCATTTTTTCCATAAATGAAAATACCAAAAAGTGTTTGTTTTGAAATTTTGTGTTTCATCCGAAACACTAACCCTGGATTTTTGTCATAAGAAAACCCAAAGTGTAACTGGCAGTTACCACGCACATAAACTGCAAAGTGTAACTTTTTGTATACGGCTAAATAATTTTTGGTTGGAAAATTTGATAGTTGAGAAAAAAGGCCTGTTTTTTTACAAATTTATTTTTATCTAAGCAAATGAAATAAAAAATTAATAATCGTGTTTACAAAAAAAACTCATCCTGGACTACGTTATAAACACAAAAAGTCAAATTTTGCATGCACAATTTTTTTTTCGCAAAAATTTATATATGAGCAGAAAAGCAAATTTGCAACCAAAAAAGGGATTGAAAATTTTTTATCTCACGTTTGTGTTTTTGCTTATGAAAAAAGTGCATATCATACAGTTTTCATATAAAAAAATTATATGATAAGCATTTTTTTGAACAAAATCAATTTTCATTCATGTTTTTGAGAGTCAAAATGCAATCTTTCAATAAAATATTTTAAAACTCATGTAAATTCAACCAGTAACATCGTTAAATTAAATTTGAAGATTTTATTTTTTCTATTGCAAAATGCTTAAATTCAAAATTTTCAAATGAGGCGAAATTCCCGTCCTAGTCTATTGCATAAAACGGACAGTCTCCAAACCAAAAAGAAAACCTGTGAAAAATCAGAGGATTTTAGAGGATGGAGTCTCATTTTCTTCATGTCCTACGAGCAGCAGGCAATTTTATTAACCTCTAAAGAGATCAGCAAAGTCCCAAACTAAATTTTAGGGCACCGTGTCAACTATTCTTGACAAGTTTTTAATTGACCTGAGGACGTCACTTCATACATGGTGACTAAGCTGAGAGAAACACTCCGATTGAAACGCTTGCTTAAAAATATTAAGCGACTCAACGTTGTCACACTACTCCATGTACTGGAATTTATATATATATATATATATATATATATATATATATATATATATATATATATTGAAATTTTCGTAAAATATATCAACAAGGCTGCTTGTACCAGGGAGGTTTTAAGCTGGCCTCTCAACTGGTATATATACGAAACATGTCGCAAACAAAACACAGAAAAATTTAGCCTGAAAAACTCATAAAACCTTCAGCAAAGTGCGTGTCAGGACATTTGTGTCCCAGACATTTATGTCCGGGCGAAAACAGTCCAAAAAGCAAAAAGTGTCCCGGACATTTGGGTCGCCAACAAAATTGTCCGGGCTTATGCCACACTAGTCATTGACAGGATTTATTTGATCAGCTCTCAATGAAAAGGCTTGAATCGAGCAGAAATTAAAGGCAAAATTAACACATAAGAGACAAAAATAGAGAGCAGCACATTAGAGGCAAATTAACACAGGACTCAAATCATCTATACATACCTACACAATTATTGCATCATTGATAATGTTGCCAAACGTAGACACGAGATATCATAATGTCATTGTGATTGCTCTAGAGTTTGTGTTGACAATGGAAATCCTTATGACAAATAAAAACAATGAAATGCTAGTTCATGATGCATACGCATATTTCAAATATCACATTCTAATAAAATCCTGAATTTCGTTGCGATGTGATTTATCTAAATGCAATGGCCGTGCGCGCTTTTTCTTAGAAAACGTCACTATCAGTCATTTTCCCGATCCGGTCGATACTGAAAAACTAAATCTTGGGACAGCTTTTAAAACAAGAGCAGTTGTTGCAGATGAGCCCCCACGTCAAGTAAAAGGTGCAGCTGCAACATCAAACTATAAATCAAAGTCAATTAGTTTTTCAAAGCTGATATTGCAAAGCAATGATTTTCAATAAATTTTTCTTTCAAAATTGAGCTAGACTTGTTTTGAAAACTGTAAAATGACCAATGTAATCAAGCTTTTCCCATCCTCTTCCACTTTTGGCTCAATTGAGTCAACCCATTTCAACTTTGCCCTAATTTGCCCACTTTTGGGGTTTTAATTTTCAAATTTTGACCAACTTACGAAAATTTTTGTCGGACCCAAGATTTGAACTTTTGATCTTGAAAACTATTGACTTCACGGCTCGGCCAAACGCGCTTTTAAATTTCAAATTGTTCTTGAAAATTTCGTCTCGCTTTGGCTGTTCTATGCGCATGGAATTGATGCGCATAGAATCTGATGAGCATAGAACCTAATTGAGAATGATCAAACAACCTCAAAAGAACCATTCAATAACTATCACAATGTCAAATCAAAGAAATTACGGAAAATTTTGTCTGGAACATGAATGTCTGGTACAATTTTATAACTTCGGACTGTTTTATCAAGGATACAAATGTCTATGCACCAGCAAAGAATTAGTGTGCATGCGTAAGTAGATAGTTTTTTGGTTAACAGCCGAATCAAGTGTGCCCAAAAATGACTCAACCCACAATACTACAAACTTATGTATACTCTTTTATTGCTATTTGGCTAAAATTTTCTGAAAAAAATATCAACCAAATTTCACCTTATAGTCCCTTTTGAGAACATTAAGTATGCATGTCCTCTTACCTCACCTCAGCCAAACACCCCCATCCCCGAATCAAATTAATTTAAAAATCTCCAGCTCACTTTTTCATTTCGACAAAAATTGCTTAGCGCCATTCTAATTAGCTGAAAATTCCAGCCTAGCACCAAGTTAGCACCCTCACCTCTTAAGCGCTTGAGCGGGGAGGATGTTAACTTTGGTCCTTTTAGTGTCCCTTTTAGGCCACTTACTTTTGTCGCTTTTCAGATATGTATGGACCTTACTTTGAATTTAAATGTGAGACTCTAGATACTTGTCTTGTTTCTCAACTTTGGTACTGAAAACGGAATAATTTTCGCGCAAATGTTTTCAAAATTTTCTCGATCTGAATTGCTGTAAGCAATTATGAATTGGAATTAATTCGATTTTTTTTCTTCTAAAATAAAGTGAGTGAATAAATTTCATTTCAATTCAATTAGTTTGCTTTCCTTGGAAAATCATCTGGATTTCTCCTTATGCCGAAATTGTTGAAGTTCATAGCTGAGTTTTAAGAGTCTCGTGACTTCTGCGTCCTGTAATAAATGGCGATATGTTTAAACTTTTTAAACATGATTTTATTGATCGGAGGGTAAAGTCACCTCCTAAAAGGTCGGCTAGCTATAAGACAAACTCCAATTATTGGTAATTGCTCTGAAACCCTAAACGATTCAAGTCAGACCAGT